AACCCCAGAGGAAAATGAGTGTATAATACATTGGAGTCTTTACCTTTTATATTTTGAGAGGTTTGTGTATTTTTTGTCTGAAAATATTTTCCAAGTTTCAGGAAATTTATCCCCAAACAGACACACACAAAAATGACTGAAGACATTTACTGAACATCGGTTCTACTGACTGAAAAGAGTATATTTCTAACATGAACCTTTCTTCCCTCTCCCCAGCAGCCCAAGTTCCTCCTTTCCTGTGGACTGTCTTCAGTCTGTAGCAAGTCTTGAAAATCCTTCAACAACAGAAGTGGTTTTACCACTTATCAATCATCAGGCCTGTCTTAAGTCAGGTTAATGGAAGTTGCCACTGGGCTTAAAAAAAAAAGCCCTTCTCTCCTCCCCCAAGTCCAAAGAGTGAAAAAAGAAAGCACAGCTCACAAATGAATTGCCTTCCACACACAGCCTCCCCCTCTCACTTTAGATGCTTCTTTCTGAGGAAAAAAAAAAAATTATTTCCTCTCATGTTCCAAAAAAGATGCTTGAAAAATTTATTAATCTGAATTAATTCCATGAACTTTTTGGTATTCTGAAGCTGGGCACACTCTACTACTATCCTCTTTAAATGCCATTCATGATCACTACAAGAAGAAAGAGAGATGATTCACTTTAAAAGTATGAACCAAACATTTATAAATATTGATTTAAAGTAAGAATTAATATTAATTTTTTAAAAAATACAAATTTGCTCACCTTTGAAAGACTCCTACTTTCTTGTCTGACTGGATATGTTTGCTCAGTAGATACACTGACTATTCCTGAACCATTATAGTGTGTTGAGTTGTTAGACTGATACTGTGAGCCAGCTACTGGATACACATTTGCAACAACATCAGGTGAATAAGAGCAGCTGGAGTATTCACGGAAGGCAGGATCTCTCAGAACACTACGTGATGAACATTGAGAAAGAAATGAAAGTCATCCTGGGAAAAGTCTTCAGCACCTACTTGTTGCCTAGACAAACATACTCCTTGTCTAAAGAATTTGTTTAACAAGAAAGCTCTATTTCAAAAGAGAACTATTCCATGTTATTTCAATTAAGTATTTACTTACTGCTACAGACTTCTCTAAAAACAATTAATTTTGTTTTGGGAAAACATGTAGTTAAGCAAACATCTTAAAACACATGTTATCCATTTCCAAGTTTCAAAGCTAGTCTGCCTTGCAGTTATAGTCCTCATGCCTGTTTAATGTTACTGAGATTCTTCATGCTTATTTTCAGTAAGCTTTTTCTTGTGTAACAAATCAAAAGCACAGTGTAAGGACATGACATGCATCACATATTTGACTGCAAAAAACCAAATATTAAAACCTGTCTTAAAATGACAATAACAAAGTGGGATTATTTTATGGAGTATAAAACATGTATGAAATACGGTGTAGAATTAAAAAATAATAATTAACTGACCTGCATGTAACCATCACAATTATGTGAAAATTTACGAAAACACAACATAACTGGGGAATGTTTCTTTCCTTCAAACATATGCTCAAAAAATTCACTTTCAATTTCCTTCTACACTTTGCCCAGAAAATATATAGAGTCCAGATTTGATTAGGGAGAATACAAATTTCTCAGCTTCAGAAAGTTGCACTCAGTTTTTAAACCTGTTCTCCATGAAGCTGCCAACCTCAGAATTTTGTGTAGATAATGACAGAGAAACTTTCCCTTCAGTACAAGAGACTTCAGCTAACACACTTCATGGTACCTGATGCAATTCTGACAGAATGCAGTCAAAACAATGCATATAATCAGTTCGCACACAAAGAAGAAATATACCAAATGAGACTCAAATATAACTATGTTTGGTCCCAACAAGGCAAAACACTCATTAGAAGACAACTGTTGTCTGGGTTGGGTTTTTTTTAATAGTAACTGATTTAATGCTAATGCTGTGGGCTTTTTCTGATGCACAGAACAGGCCATACTCGCCTCAATGCTAAATTTCTAGTACAAATGAAAATAGGTTTAAAATACTAAGATTTCCTGTAGGATAAAATGATGGCCTATAATGATTTTTTTCACTAAGGCTCTGAATTCTTAAAGAAATACCAATTACTTTGCAGTAATTGTATAATCAATCCAATGCTTAGGGTCCTGAGAAGCAATGAGAGAACTATGTAACATCATCAGATTCTAACAAGACTCAATTACTTGCTGTCCTACTATGTAGGCTTTTGTCTAGTTTGCTCTGGTTAAAAAAATACTTTGATAAGTCTACCACAAATACCATTCCTGGGCTCTAACAGAAGAGCCCTAAAACTTCCGGAAACCTGTAGCATTTTGAGTAAAACTGCCTTTTTGGATATGCATGTTATGGAGAGGAGATCCAGGAGAGGCCCATATACTAAATATTTTACAGGATGAGAAACCTCCTTGAAGAATCTTTTTCCTTGTGTACAACTATATCTACCTCAGCATGGCTGCAACACAACCATTCTTTCATTCAAGGACTGGATTCAGGTCCTTCCAAAACATGCAAAAACCAGACCAATCATTACAGACCACCAAATCCTCCTTAATAATACGGGCCCTTGTGAGAAAAAGACAAGGTTCCTAATATATGTCCAGAGAACATAAATATAAAAAACTAAATCACAGAGATAATGCAGAAGCACTTCTACAGTTGGACTAATAATGTATTGGAGCCTTGACTTTGTAAGAGCACTCAATGTCCAAAACCAGACGGTTAAAATCCCCCAAGAAATAAGATTCAGAAAATATACATACTTATCCAAAGATGGTTCCTGAACAAATGGGTAGCATGTAGTTAAGTACCTAGGAAAGACACATGCTTCTGAGGGTTCTGACCATGCCACAGTTACCGCCGCATGCTTTGGAACAAATGGTTTGACCTCTGCTGACAACTTGATGCCCTGAGAAACAAAAGGTTTTTTGGCTACATGCATTTGGAGATTAATGTTATTAAGTGAAAAACACTCACTCGTGAGCTTAACTGTCATTGGAAAGTGTTAGTTTGCTCTCTTCTAACAAAACATGCAAAACAACGAAGCTCAACCAAAAGGAAATGGAGAAATAAAGGGAAAACAAAACCAAGGAATTCAAAGAAACATCTGACTGCTCTGTAAAGTCACTTAAAACCCTCATTTATCATGAAACACAAAGGTCAGTAATGTAAAAGACAGAAGCCTGCTTAAAACAAGATGCAGTAAATGAAAATATATTCATTCTTACTTTATATTTGAACAGTACAAACTAAAATTCATAAATATACTAACACTGCTGTTAATCAAACTCTGAAAGTACATGACAATAATGACTTTGTACGTCTGTATTTTAAGGCAGTCAATCTGAAACAAACACTTCATTTTATAATTTTCTTGTTTCTAGCACAATACAAATTTATTAAGACAAGTTCTCCATTTGTTCTGAATTACCATCGACTTACACTGGATATGTGGACGGACAATGAAGTGAGACTTGAAGTTATTTACTGCCATGTTATCAAAACACGCAGGAAGCAAAGGTGACTGTAGCCCGACCACTGAGACCCCCGAACCGGACCAGGTGATAGGTCCATGTGCGTAACACTACTACTATTGGTTAGAATCTGGGCACCCAGGCTTAAAATGTCTGGGATGACCACCAGTCCTTGCAGCAGGCCCTCCACTCTGAATGAATAGATTCCCACACTTCCAGAGCTCACTGGAAGGTAATGTTCGGAGTTCCCCATCCCAAGCGGTGGGAAGCGACTCGCTGCGTTCCAACCTGAGCGCCCCCTCCCGCCCGGTTTTGACCTTCCAGAAGGCTTCTTCCCCCAGCCCCGAACCAAAGGCTGATCCAAGGCGCGGTGGGAGTAACCCTGCCTGAGGAAGCGTTTGAGCAGCCGGCGCGCTCGGCCCGGGCTGGTGAGCGGCCCCCGGGGGCGGGGAGCGGCACCGAGGTGCGGACTCAGGCCATCCGCCCACAGCTCCCGCCCCAGGCGGCTCCTGGAGAGCGACTCCACGCCAGGAAGAGCTGGGGAGGGGCAGGGGACTGCAGGTGCTGCCGCTGCCCTTACCTCGCCGCCGCGGCCGAAGCGCGGCCACCTCTCGGCCGACATGGCGCGGGGGGCGCGGCCCCGCTGCCGCCGCCGGGCCGGGCGCGCCGCGATGACGCACGGCCCCGCCCCAGCCCGAGGGCGCTGTGCGCGCGGCCGGCGGGCCCGGAGCCACCGAGCGGGCCCAGGGCGCGGGAGAAGTGGCACCGGCTGTGCCGAGCTGCCCTGCCCGCAGGTGTGGCCGATCCTGTCCCATAGGAGAAAGGAGGGCACAGAATAAAGGCAGGTATGCACCGTGACAGCCACCCAGGACTCCGATGGTGCTGGAGAAAAGCATGACTAAAGCAGAGGTCAGCAGGATTCTTAGCGAAGGTGCTTGCTTCAAAACTTGGAGAGTCCTGCTCTAACCAGGCGTGGTACAGACCAGCACTTGAGACAGACACCTCTGGCAGATTTTGGAGGAAAGAGTACAAGGGTTCTTTTCCTCACCAAACTTTTCAGGTTACTTTGTCTCCATGAGAGCACACATTACACATGCAGAGCATGTACTTCAACCCTGCTTTTGTTGGCCTTTAGGAGTTGTGCACAACTATAATGCAATTCATCTTTGAAATGAACCTGCTACTCTTAAGAGTTACTCAATATACGGAAGCACCTTCTTACAAAAAACGTCTGTATGGCTACTGCTACAGAGTCCCAAGAAGCCACAGTGACAATTTGGATGCAAGTCAGGAGGAGCAGGCTAAAACCCCAGCCTAAAAATTAACTGCTGTTGTTAAAGTTAAACAAAGGAGCCTATAAAGACCTTTGAAATTCTGAGTACTACTCAACCCTAAGCATATACACCAAGTAATACCAGGTTCACTGAAGTATTTGTTTTTCTGAAGTAGGTACTCTTAAAAAAATGTTAGAGAACAAATATTTGTTTTGTCCAGTAAATTACAACTCCAGACACTTAGATTTCATAGAACATTAAAAACTTTATTTCTTAAGCCTTCTTACTACTAAACTGTTGAACTCTTGAATTTAAGCATACTACAGTACAGCAGAAAATACGAGTGCAAAAGTTACAGAACGCTAACAAGTGATGAACTAATCAGATTTAAGTCAGAGAGGCACTTACATTAACAGTAAAAGATAAAGTCATCACTCTTTGAACATCATAGCAGCCTGCTTGGAATTGCATTTGACTGAGCTTTGTTGCTGTGAATAATACAGCTCATGCACAGGTTTGGATGTATGTTTTGTAAATTTTAAAGTATTCACTGAATACTACACCAACATATATACACTCATATACAGTTCCAGAAGATTCAAGAGGCCATGGCTTATTTCTGCTCATCCTTTGGAAGAGGTCTTCTGAAAAGCAGAATATGTGGTTCTGCAGAAAGAAAATTGAACAAAATGTCAGTCTGTCCAAGTCTTGATTAAAGGGATTTCTTTAATCTTGAACAATAGTTGAGGCTTAGTTTCAAATACATTATTAGGAAGCCTGAGTATGGCCCCACACATGTAATATTAACACATCAAGTCTGCAGTATTTTTACAACAGTCAAGTATTTATGCCCAATGCTGGCAGTACCATAAACTTAAGATTCTTACAGGAGGAAACTATTGGGAAAATATAGAGTATTTTATAATGTCTCTTTACATTAGGCTATTTGACAAACACTGTTACTGTAACTTAGTTATAACTTATATATATTATTATAACTTTTACTGTCTGTTAGGCACAAATAAAACACCAACAAAATTCACTTTAGTTAACACAGACAGCTTATGTCATTATCAATCATCTTAATTCTAAATGCCTCCAGGAAAGTCTTAAATATCAAAGGTAACCACATAAGGGAAACACTGGAAGGCTATGCTAATTTCTTCAGAAACTTGGAACTTCATGCTGATGCAATTCATCAACCACCTGTTACTTTTCAGTCAGGCCTGTCATTGGTAGAGTACCTGGAATGACTGCTTCCCCAATACCAACATCCTAGTTAGTAAAGAGTTGTAGGGCTTTGCACCCCATTAACTGAAGAATTACTGATTTTTCAAGAAGCTTTACAGCTGTAGTTGAAACCATCTAGCATTTTCAGAGGATTAATACAAGACCTTGTCTACATGAGCATCTATTAAGTTGTTGTACAAAAGAGGAGGTGTGTCAGCTTTATGATTTAGAGATACACTGCTACATTAACTTAGGTTCACTCACTGCATACTCACGTTAAAAACTCACAAAAAAAACCTGCTTCGATGGGCAGAGACAGGAACACTTTCAGTGTGGTATTTTTTGTCTATAGCTAAACCATACACATCTAGGACAAGACTCACATTTTGTAAGTCTGGAAGCAGGATGTGAAGGTTGAAAATAAAGATTATGTCACCTTTGTTGGCAAAGGACTAAAGTAGCAAAGAGAGAGTAACATTCAGTAGTGAATTCCAAATGGATTCCACAGTAGGAGCTGCATATCACATTCTTCGGCTGAGCACCAGGCAGTTGATATTTGACTTTTTTGTTTGTCTAATTCTGTTCAAATGTGCTCACCTGGCTCATGGATCATATAGTGAACCCAGCCAAGACTCTGCTGAACACCAAGTCGTCTCCACTCTTCTTCAGACATCAGATGAGATTTTGGCACTTGTTTTGAAAGTTCTCGTGGTAGCATCACATGTCTGTAGAGATGTAATTATTAAACATACACAAAATACTGTACACTAGACAATTCGAACAGATCGGCACTGAAAGACAGTAAGCCGGTTGTGAATACTTACTTTCCCTGTAAAGAAAACAAAAGTACTGATTCTTGGCATGAATTTGATTGTGAAACGCGTCCCAGAATCCAGTTTTAAATCACTTGCGACTATTAAACGTTACATCTGTAAAGCACCTGCATACTGGGAGCCAAACTGTCTTCTAAAAGGTATTTAGACCCCTCCAGATTCCAATGACGGTACACTCAGAGAAGCATGCGCTCCTGGCAACAGGCTGCTATACCAACTACTTGAAAGATAAGAAATTTTGACTTGTGAAATATTTGTAATACCGCTTTCAATTAAGCCTAGGAGAGTTAAATTTCAACAGTCCCCCATCAGCAGGGGCCTAGGCTCCGCCACAACCTGGAGTTAGCACAGCCGGTACGGCCCCTCCGCCATCACCCTGTGGCCAGGGCTTGTGTTGGCCGCTCACAGAGCAACCTGGGCCAACCGATAACAGCATTCGGTCACTCATTCCCTCCGTCCCACCAGTCCAAATCCACGCGGAAACCTTCCATGGGAGAGCCCCTCCCCGCTGGCCTTAGGCCCTCTCTGGCTCCGTTCCCCCGGCGGAGCCTTCTCATTCCCTGAGAGCAGCCCGCACACCTCAGCCGAGGCACCTGGACGAGCCGCCCTCCTACGGAACGGCTCTTCCTAATGCCTCCAGCTGTCCCTCCCGCTCTCTCCTACAGCTTCTTACCGGTACTCGTACTGCTCGTCAAAGTACTTATCGGAATAATAGATCTGCTTGTGGGCCATGGCGAGCTAAGGCAGCGGCACAGTAACCTCCTGTTCCCCCCTCACGGACTCCTCGCGCACTAACTGCCCCCTTCCGCGCCCCGAAACGTTTGAATCCAGAGGCTCGGCTCCCATTGGCTCTCGCCAGAGCCAGCCAATCGCGTGCCGCGCCGCCGCGCCCCACCCGAGCCCGCCGTCGCATAGCTCGCGCGCTCGCGGCTCCCAACCAATCCCCGGCAGCCGCAGCGGGCGGGGGAGCGTTACGTAACGGGCGGTGGCGGTCGGGCAGAGCGGCGGCACCAGCACGAAGCGGAGAGGCGGGGCTGGCTGGGGGTGGGGGGGGAAAGAGGCGCGGGCGCGCCTGATTGGTCAGTGGCGGCCGGGGCGGGCGCGTGCCTTCACAGCACGGGGCGGGGGGCGGCGGTGCCAGGCTCGCACATGCGCAGCTCGGCCCCGCGTTCTCCGCCACTGCTTTGCGGTGCTTGTCTCGGCCCAGCCCGGCCCGGCTTCAGCCGGCCTTGCCTTGCCTCGCTTGGCGAGGCCCGGATCGGCTCCGTCCTCGGTGTCCGGGGGACCTGCTTCTTTCAGGGCAGCGAGAAAGTGATGCCTTCGTCTTTTTAATTAAGTGTAGTGTTCACTTCAAAATTGTGCTGTCCCCTGGCTGCCGGGTAGCTGCTGTAAGCCCGTGGTGGCCTGGGGTGGCGCTGTCAGGAATGCCGCCCCGTCGGTCGTACTTGCTCAGGGTGAAAACTTACAATAGGCAGGTTGCAGATGTGTCCAGAGCAGGGTGGGAACTGCGGACAGGATTTCAGTTTACAAACATCCTTACCCACCGAAACAAACCATCGAATGCTTCCCTGGGAATACGTGCGCAGCAGGTCGCCAGGGTTTGCTAAGAGGCGCTGCAGCTCCCCAGATAAGCGTGCTGTCTCTGCCCTGTGGGGTGAGATGAGCACGGTGCGAAGGTGACCAGAAGGAGCGGTTTCACGGTTGCTTTCATAGAATCGTGGAACCATACAGTGGTTGGAAGGGGCCTGAAAGATGATGTAGTTCCAACCACCCACCATGGATAGACACCTTTCACCAGATCAGGTTGCTCATCCCCGTCCAACCTGGCCCTGAATACGCCCCGGGATGGGGCATCCGCAGCCTCCCCGGGCAGCCTGTTCAGTGCTTCACGCTCTCGCAGTAGAGTTTCTTAATGTCAACCCTAAATGTCCCCTCATGCTCCACGCCACCTGCTTGTAGTGTGCTCCTCTCCTTGCTAGGCCTCTGCCGAAAAAAGGAGATAAGTCTTTCAAGAAGTTTCTGCTTCTCTGGTGCTGCCAGAAACGTGGGTACTGCCTGTGGTTATGTAATGCATCTGTCTGAAAACAGAGGAAAAAAACAACCAAAGCCATGTGATGCATGACAGCTGATACACTTGCGTGGGTAATAGGTATGATTTTTTTTTAGCAGCATTGTTTCTACTGGCGCTACAGCTTGTCTTAAACAATAAAGTTTAAGCCAGTCTCACTATGCAACCATTAAAAGGAGTGCTTACCATAATCTAGCAGTAATATTTTTCTCTTAATTTGACTGCATATTAGAGCTTGTTGGGAACAGGTCATTTAAAGGCCACATGAAGTCAGTGTTTTTGAACTGGTGTAGCTAAATGTGTGAAATTCACATAACAAAGGAATATATATTCCAGTATAATTGTAAAAGTACAAACCACCTGCAAGTTTTCTAAAGTTTTAGTTAGATTATTCAAAAATAGAGAGGTTTGGAGATTTTTAGCTTAATTTCAGGCAGCACAACAGATATTTTTAAATACTTGAGGCAGAACATGCACAATGATTTGTTAGGAATGTCACTGTGTAATAATGGGAAAAAAATATTAAACTGCCATGATGGGTTCTACTGGATGAAAGACATTTCCTTGCCATGTCTTTTATAAGCTTTCTGTTTGTTTTATACCTACTGAACATGAGAGAAAATTGATTTTTATGTAAGGCTGTGTGTAAGCCTTTCTCCTTTGAGTTTGTTCAGAAATGAATGGGGACATCGTGCTTTTGACCCCCCTGTTAAAGAGCCAGGGAGAGAGCAGTCATTGTTTACATGGACTTCAGCAAGGCTTCAGCTTTTGGCTTCAAATAATCCCTTCAAAGAGAAGCAGTTGATGTATGAACTGAATGTGCAGACAGTGACCTCAGATGAGTGGCCAGGCCCAGAGGATGGTGACACATGACACAAGTCTAGTTGGAGACCAGTAAGTAGAGGTATGTCGCAGGGGTCAAAACTGGGCCGAGGCTTTTTAACATCTTCATTAATAACCTGCACAGTGGGGCAGAGTGTACCCCTGGCATGTTTGCTGGTGACACCTAGCTGCATGGAGTAACTGAGAAATCAAATGGTTGTGCTGCCAGGTCAAGGAACAAGGAATAGGCTGAGAGGACCTTTGTGAAGTTGAGGGCAACAAATGGAACAAGGTGAAGAGCAAAGTCCTGCACCTGTGGAGGAACAACCACAGGCACTAGTATGAGGTGGGAACTCCCCAGATTGAGATTGTATTTTTTTTTTAAAAGAGGACTTGGGAGTGCTGATGAACACTGAGATGAATGTGACAGAGCACTGTGTGTCCTTGCAGTAAGGGTGGCTAGCAGTGCCCTGGGCTGCAGTAGGACAAGTGCTGCCAGCAGATTGAGGGACGTGATCCTGCCCCTACAGCACAAATGAGGCCTCTGCTCACTCCTGAGTGCAAGAGAAAGGTGGAGCTGCTAGGGAAAGTTCAGTGAAGGGCTACATAGATGAAAACCTGTTTGTGAGAATCTGAAGACATGATACAAAGAAGACCAGAGCAAAGAAGGCAGGTCTCAGAAGACCAGGCTCATTGTAGTGGTGCCCAGTGACAGGACCAGAGACAGGAAGCACAAACTGAAACATGAGATGTTCCTTATGAACATCAGGAAGCCTTTTTTATTGTGAGGTAGATGGGGCATTGGCAGGGAGCTGCTGGAGTCTCCAATTTTGGAGAACCTCCAAAACCATCTGGACATGATTCTGGGCAATGGATAGCAGGTGACCCTGCTTGAGCAGGGATGTGAGATATGACCTCCAGAGGTCCAGCTTCAGCCACTCTGTGTGATACTGTGTGAAACAGGGCTCTTCATCACTGTCTTCAGGCTACTGTTACCCACAAAGGCTGTTAGTCACGTTGCAAAGAAGGAAATAAACTGTTCTGTACTGTGTGGAGAGAACAAAAATGCTTGAACTTTGTCAAGGCAGCTTTATGCTAAACCTTAGGAAACATTTCCTGCCAGTATATAATTTAAATGTTTTAGAACATTTCAGAAAAAAAAAATGCTTTCTGCAGTAACATTTCAGGTCAAGCTGATCCTGTCTCTGATCAGTGGTTTCTTTGAGGCCTGCTTTCTATGGTTGTGTCAGTTATGCTTTCCTCTGTAACTTTTGCAAATACAGAATGCAGAACAAAGGTAATTTTTTTCTCTCCAGTGCTCTAGAACGACCTTTTAAATTGTAGTTGTTATATGTTTTCATATTCAAAGAAATTAGTTTCTGGAATTAAGGATATTAAGTGGTGAATTGAATCCTCACTCCGAAGCTTCTGAACCAGGTCAGAAGTGAGACCACAAACACCCATGTTTATTAAAGAGAAAAGCTGCTGAGAAGCTTTATCGTACACTTTAGCCTCAGCATGTTGAAGGCATGTATTAAAGCATTTATCAAAGAAGTTTACCATAGCACAGACTAAAAGGTATTCCACATAGCTTTAGGGATACAGGTTTGTTAGGAGAAATCTCAGTGAGCTGTGCAACTGGGATGTAAGCTCCTGCTCAGAGACCTGTCTGATTAGGGGAGCTGTGATTAAGTTGCTATTGAAACACAAGATGAAATGGCAGAACACAAAGAGAATATTCTTGAGCTTTCCTTTCTGTCTCCTGTAGCTATAGCACAGGCACATAAAAAATTGAACACTGGTATTCTGCACTCAGTATGTGAACAGCATGACTGTAGTCTCTTCAGCATAGAGTCTCTTCAGAACTAAAGATGGGCTATAAACATTATTGTGGGGGATTATTTTGTGTATCTGGACAGAAGCAGATTTAAATCCTCTGTGTAACCTGTTTTCTTGTGACTAAGGCCATCCACAGAGATATGTGGGCTATGATAATAAAACTGTTACAATGAAGGGCCCATATGCACCTCAACTATTGCATATACAGAGTTCAGGATATAAGCTGTGGCACAAGAAAATATTTTCTGTGCTTTTTGTCAGAAGGGGAGATGAAAAATTTCCCATCTGTGTTGTGCATAGCAGTCTCTGATTAAAAGTTTCTGCAGTTTTTCCTGTTTAGTTCTGTGAGACATTAAAAAATTAATAAGTTATATGTAGTTTTACTATGCTTCAGTTTTCAAACATGTCCTTATAAAACACTAGTGTCAGATGCTTGAATGTATTTTTCTGAATAGAACAGCAAGATCAGAGTCAAGGAACCTTTTGTACTGTCTTCATGAGTCATAATCATATACACAGTTAATAAGTTTTGAGTAATTTGAATGTGAATCACATTCATAGCACATATTGATGAACTGTTATCTGTGGTTTTATATTTTCAGTGTTTCTTATGGAAGTAAGGCATACACAATTGTACTTCTCATCAGTTTTGATCCTCAACTAGCTTTTGAACCTGTTGGCTCAAATTTGAGACAAAGGCTGATGAATGATTGCACGTTTCATGATAACAGGCAGACAATAGAGCAGAAGAACTCTCATGGGGGATGATGTTACAGTTAAACTTGCACCTTATTAGGCCCAGAATCTACATGGGGAAAAAAAGCTTTGCATAAATTCTTTAGGAGTAAATATCTTTCAGCATTTGGTGTACATGCCTTCTGAGACCGTAGAGCCACAAACCATGAGTCAGTAGAAGAGCAGTCTCACTTAATTCTTATATTCAGTAAGGTAACTTTCTATTTGCTGATTTTATGTGCTGGCTTTATATGGTGTTTGCCTAGTATTCCACAACACTAATGGTCCCCAAAGCACTCTCAGGCTGCTTGTATGTGTAATATTAACAGTAT